ACTTGTACCGTCTGAAACAGAAAGGACAAGATCTGAGCTCCTGCGTTCAGCAGAGTTCAGAACCTCACCGATATTCCAAGTAAAAAATGAAAGGGCTGACCAAAACATAGAGAAGTAGAGTTTGCTTATCTTCAGGTGTAATCATCTTAAATTATTACATGCAACAGCTAAACGTATTTCAGACAGAAAATGATTTTAAGCTGACCCTTCTTTGCTAGAACATGAATTGACTAAGTCGGTTTTGTGACTGGGAGTTGCATAGCTTCCTTTATGACTGAACCAAAGTTCACAGTTATATCCTGAACCTGGACACACAAACAGACGTCAAGCCATTCCGTATGTTTACAACATATCCACTGCCGGAGTTTCTACTTGCATCTAGCAAGGCCAGGAAGTAAAATCTAGGTATCAAGTGAGGCCAAGTTTTATAGTTACATGTCAACATAAATGTAGATAGGGTGAAAAGGAAGTTTCGAGCCCAACAGAAGGTACTGCCGAACTGCAGGGTGATTAGATAGGTTGACAGGAGCCCCGCGCTGACAGAGCTGTGATGTGCCTGCCACTCATTCCATGGCTTTTTTCATAAACAAGAAGAACAGAGGGATTTACGCATATGAGAAAAAATTACCTTTAGAGCAAAAAATTTGATGAACTTGTCCAGGTCCTTCCTGTCCTGGGAACTGAGATCAGTGTCCATTGCATATGGCAATCTGAAACATAGCACAGGCAGGGGGATGAAATCTTCCTTACAGCTTTCTGTCTGGAGTTTAAGATTTCAAAATATTTTGCCATTTGAGGCTACTTCAAGAGAAATATGTAAGCACCAAACACCTGTTAAAAGACCAACATGCTAAGAACTTTGAACTTTTTAAAAATTCCTGTGAATAAGGATATATACTGTCCACATAAAAGGTACTAGGGAAAAAAAGTAACAAAATAGGGGGCACGTAAAACTGGGTAGATTTTCTCTAATTTTGCTAGTTTCATTTTAAAACAGAACACCCACCAACACCACACTGGGTTCTGTATCAAGCTGTCCATCAGACAGGGCAGTCTTGGCTTCAGAAATAAGGTATTCTCTGTTAACAGTGCTGGTCAAAACCAAGCCACATTGTTTTTTCTTGGGTCTGAAGTTCTAAAACCAGTGTCCAGGTGTATTTCAGCAGGTACCGAAATCAGTATAACAAACCATTGCTGGAATGGGCTTCTTTACTCCCAACAAACAGTATTGACAGTAAATCTGTACAGCCACAAGCTCACCTACAAGCAACCCAAAAGATGTATTTTCTCAAAGGACAGACCACAATGCCACCTGCACTCCTTGACAGCCCCAGATGCCAAACACTCAGCTCCCACAATCACACCAGCTTGATTTTCAAAGTATTACCGATGGTTTTAGCAGCGCCGTGGGACTTGCACAGTGCCTGAAGCCAGGCTGGCCAAGCTACTAAGCAGATTTCTGCCACCATCACCTCACGTGGTCTGGGATAAATGGCAACTTCCCTGTCTCTCGGCTTCTTCACGTGTAAGTTAACCATACAGAGACCGTGGGGAGGACTGCCTTAATTAACCATTTTGATTGTGCTTTTTGCTCGTAAGCCTTCAAAGTATCAATTCATTCTTAATTCCTGTTGCTGTTTTGGCTCTGAGACAGCTAGTCACCCCAAAGCAGCTCATCCAACATCACCTGCACAGGGACTGCACTGCCCAGGGCAGGCTGGGGTCCCCAGGTCAGTGGGCGAGCAGTGGGTGCGCGAGGTCACTTCACCCAGCGTTGAACCTCTGAGCAATGCCTGAACTTGCAGCAGGACCGTAGCGTCGAGAAGGGCTGGGTATGTGACTTAATACAACTTAAAGCTTAGCCAAAGGGGCCAATAACCCCGATCAGACAGAAAATATCATAAAATCTTTCATGGCTACGCACATCCAGAAGTTCTACTTGAAATATTTCAATTAATAGAAGTAAACGCCTATTTTAAGTAACGCTGCTACATGAGAGCACTGCAGTTAACAGGGCACGGTACAGGGCTGAATGCTGCTTTCTGCTTGACTCGATAAAAACAAAGCTGAGCACCTGGTGTGGTGGGAAGTTCCTGGGCTACATTCATAGGGCACCTCCCAGCACTCCACCTCTTTTATTATGTATTATGATTTGAAAACTAACAACATAAACCATTTAACAGTAGATACGTTATCAAATTTGGATATCCTAACCTCCGCAGAAGGAGAAGCTTTCAGTATTGACCCTTCCCACTACGAAAAAAAAAAAGTGTGTAATAATAATTTTTCTGACTTAATTAAGTGTAAGGGTTAAGAGGACCTGAGATCCACAGAAAACCTGGCTGATATGGGCAGTAAAACACTGTATTAAAAAAAATCTTTTTCTCAGCAAGAAAAATGCTGACACTTAAATACTGAGAGAAATCAAATTAGCTTTTAACGTGAAAAGAAGCGGGAGGGCATTTATTTGTGATTCCTGGAGAAAGGTACAAGGAAGAATTTATCCTTTTGGCATAGGAGAGCTGTCGAATAAATCACCTGCATTTGCCTTATGGGACTGGAAAGAAATTCTGGGTATCGACTGCCACAAAACATTAGGGAACTAACAAAAGATGTTAAGATCAGTGGCCACTTAGGTAAGGAAACAATGCAGCACGGTTCTCTGTGCAACGTAGGCATTAGTTCTGGTATTACCCAAATACCTCTAGAGGGGACAGAAACAGCCACCAGAGCCATGCCTTGGATGCAGGGTTCCAAGAATGAGAGCTTCACAGTTCTGCCCTGCTCCAGCAGGAACAGAAATCTTTCTGCAAGATCCCAAACTTTCTGTAACATCCATGAAACAGTTGGAGTTTCGTTCCTCAAGCTCCAAATGCCAGCAACAGCTGACTCACCCGAGTTTGAAGCACAGCAGGAACAATCGGGCAAGATTCCACGTCAGGGATCTGTAATTTCAGGGAAAACTATGACCCTGGAACTCAGCCCCTGGCACGTCTAAGGCCTGTCATCTGGCAACCGGCATCTCCTCATTTTTGCAGGGAAGCCTCTGATGATTACTTGCCACCTGCTGAGGCAGTGTTCACCTGCAGAATCACTCTTGAGAAGAGTCAACACAGACCTAGAACTACAAATGTTTTATTTACAAAAATGCTTTCATGACTGCGGGTTTGCTTCCACAATCTGACCTCAAAATTCTTTAAGTTCCACCAAACTCATTCAATTCCTGAAGTCCTGCAGGTTTTGATGCCGACGCGGTCCTTGTTAAGCGCCAGTTACCCAAGCAATGCTCAGCTCTGTGCGGACACTATCTAATTTTACACTGACTAACACCCAGAAGGAACTAACCTTTGGTCTTGTTCAGAAATCTCCAGATGACTGCTTCCCCCTCAACCAAATAATCCCTTAAACAAACAGCCACCTCGCTGCTTTAGCCTTGCACACAGGCTGCTGACAGGTAAAACAAACGTCTCGGCTACCTGGCTTTCTGCTTTGCCTCTCCCTTTCTGCAATACCTACTTTCATACTCATCTTTATTCACGTGGCGTTGTCTCCTCTTCCCTCTCTACAGAAAAGTCAGAGAAAAATACTCAAAGGAGAAACGCCACGTGGCTTTTTTAGCTAAAGCCTCTCTCTTTTTCACAAGGTTCCAAGATAAACATTAGCCTTCCCCATTGTTTTGACACCCAAGCATTGTGCCACGCTCTACCTGTAGCTACAGCCTGCTTCGCCAAGCGAAGGGCACGTGAACAGAAGGCGAGGGCACCTCGCCTGCATGATGCAACAAGCTGCAAGAGCTGTCCCCTTGGTGTGTCGGTGCAGCCTGGATGAACAAGGCAGCACACGTGGCCCTGCTCTGCTGCCAGCGGCCGTGCTGCGTGCAGGCACTTGTGAGCCCGGCACCCGACAGGTGCACGGCGACACCTGCGAGCACCTGCGTTGCCCTACGGGTTTTGTGCCTGGGAATTCGCTGGGCATGAGCGTTTGACACTCATGTAAAGGAGCTGAAGCACCTGGCACGCACCGGGCGTCAGCGTTAGTGCTGGGGAAAGCACGTACAGGCTGCTGCCATTACCTCCCTCCTCTGAGATTTCGTTCTGAGCCACGGCCGCTACAGCTTTACCTCATCGTGCTTCCCTTTAAAGCAGACAGACGCAGTAATTAGTCAGGGTTTCTACCCCAGAGCACCACACTGGCACTAAAAACGAGCAGAGGGCAGTGGGAGCCCTTCCATTCCTATGAGGCGGGCTGTGCTCATCCCAGTCCCCCCTCCCCAGTTACCTCCTTGATGGTGCCCCCAGAGCGGGTTCCCTGCTCTCGCCCCTCTTTTCAGACCTGTTTTGTACCCGCAGGACCCAGAACTGACGTCTGAGCTGGTCCTCCGCTGGGCTCCGGCCGCTCCTTGCCGGGTCCCTCAGGTAAACAAGAAGTTTGGGCAGCTTTTAATAGCGCGCCTTGGACAAACAGGCCCGGCTGCCAAGAAGCCTTTCCTAGAAGCTCTTTGGAAGCACGAAGCTGTGGTGCGAGCAGGTATTTTGAGCACATTAACAAGCGCCTATAAAAAGCCCCCTGCTGCAAGGCGCCCTGCGAGGCCTGGAAACCAAACTCCGCGCAGCCCGGGCGGTTGCTGGACGTTCACCTCCATTTCCCCGCTGTGGGGTTTATTCAGCGACCTTTTTTTTAGGTTTTAACCCGTTTCAGGCTCCCCTCACCCACCGCGGGCTCCCTCCCCCCCCGCCCCCCCTCAGCGCCTCAGCGCCGGGTGCCGGTACCTGCGTGGTGGCGGCGGTGCGGGGGGCTCATCCCGCGGGGCCCCCGTGAGGCGAGGCGGGGACGGGGGCGGTGGCGGCGGTGGCGGTGGCGGCGGGGGGGGCTCCGCTCCGCCTCACAGCCTCGGCCCGCTCGGCGCCGCCATCACGGCCGCTTGTTTTCATCGGGGGAGGCGCCGCCTGAGCATCCGCCGCCGCACTTTCCACACGCCGGCAGCGCTTCACCGCCCCTCCAGCGGGGAGGGAGGAGGCGAGGCGGGGAGCAGCGAGGCAGCGCCCCCTCAGCAGCCGCCCCCCTGCCCGCCCTCCCCACCCTCCTCGCTCCCTGGGGGCTGGCGTGAAGCTGTGGCGAATCTGTCCCCCCCCCCCCGGGTGTCGGCCATGGCCGTGCCCGTGGCGGTGCTGGACTGCGACCTGCTGCTGTACGGCCGCGGGCAGCGCACGCTGGACAGGTTCAGGCTGGAGGATGTGACGGACGAGTACCTGGTGGCCACCTACGGCTTCCCCCGCCGCTTCATCCGCTACCTGGTGGAGCTGCTGGGGGCCAGCCTGACGCGCCCCACGCAGCGCTCCAGGGCCATCAGCCCCGAGACGCAGGTGCTGGCGGCGCTGGGCTTCTACACCTCGGGCTCCTTCCAGACCCGCATGGGCGACGCCATGGGCATCAGCCAGGCCTCCATGAGCCGCTGCGTCGCCAACGTCACCGAGGCGCTGGTGGAAAGGGCCTCGCGCTTCATCCGCTTCCCCCAGGACGAGGCGGCGGTGCAGGGCCTGAAGGAGGACTTCTACGGGCTGGCGGGCATGCCGGGGGTGCTGGGGGTGGTGGACTGCACGCACGTGGCCATCAAAGCGCCCAACGCCGAGGACCTGGCCTACGTCAACCGCAAGGGCCTGCACTCGCTCAACTGCCTGATGGTGTGCGACGCCCGAGGGGCCCTGCTGAGCGCGGAGACGCACTGGCCAGGCAGCCTGCCGGACTGCGCCGTCCTGCAGCAGGCAGCCCTCGCCAGCCAGTTCGAAAACGCGCTCCATAAGGACGGCTGGCTGCTTGGTAAGTCGGTTTTTCCTCACTCCTGCCTGTGGAAAGGCCCTTCCCTTTCTGTGCTGGCGCCTCTTCGAGTTTGAAGCCTCTCAGCACAGCCAATAAGTTCTGTTCTTACTGCTTCCTGCAAATTCCTCAAGACTTGACGTTCAGTTTGGACTGTTCTTGGAAGTCTACAACAGCAATTTGCAATCTGTGTTACAAATACTACGATCATTGTATATACTAATTCGTATTCATATTGTAATTTGTACTGATTTATACAATTTAATTTCTATTTGACCTTTTCAGAATTCTACCCCTTTCTAAGATGAATGCCGCAATGATTCTGTTGATGCTCTTGGTCCAGTTGTCTTACTTTCACCGTATTGCACAGTAAATGGATTCTCTTATTCTATTCCACGTACTTCAAGGCTTAAAGGGAATGTCTTTACTTTGTTATTTGTCACATTTGTAAACCAGTTATTGTTGCTCTTTCATCTTTTCTGTTCTAGCCTGAGAGATAAGTTATTCTGCATCCACACTACCAGAAAACCTGGGGCAAAGAGCTGAAGCCCTGAGGTGGCTAACTGTAGGTCTGTAACCCATCTCCCTTCTTTTCACTGCCAACAGGTGACAGCTCCTTCTTTCTCCGAACCTGGCTGATGACCCCCCTGCACATCCCCGAGACCCCCGCAGAGTACCGCTACAACATGGCGCACTCCGCCACCCACAACGTCATTGAGCGGACATTCAGAACCATTCGGTCGCGCTTCCGCTGCCTGGACGGGTCCAAAGGCACCCTGCAGTATTCCCCGGAGAAATCCAGCCACATCATTCTGGCCTGCTGCGTGCTCCATAACATCTCCCTAGAACACGGGCTGGACGTGTGGTCCTCCCCGGCCACGGGACACGTGGAGCAGCCCGAAGAGGAGTATGAGCAGATGGAATCAATGGACTCGGAAGCCTGTCGTATTCGCCAGGAGCTTCTACTTACACACTTTAGCTAGTGTTGTGACAGGGGGAGGGCTTCAGCAGGTCATCTGAGATGATACAGAGAGCAACTGTGTCCCTCTCCTTAAGTTTGTAATGACTGTGTGGGTGTGGGATGAGGGCAAATTTTATTCATTTCAGGGGGTATTATGAGCTTCTCTTGATCTCCTCAGAGGTGTCATGTAATTGCTAAATGTTTACTGTTACTGATGCTTGTAGACTCCCCTTTTATTTCGGGAACAATGACTGTAATGTGAGATCAACGGAGAGCCTTGGGACGTTGTCTTTGATAACAATGGCAAACCTGTAAGCCTTGCACTACTTCACAACAGCTCCGTGCCTCTTTGTAACCCGAATCACCGCTGAGTTTTAAATCAGCGTTTCACACAAATTAAACTCCTGTGCAGACCCCGAATTCATGAGCGTGCTGCTGAAGGGCTGCTCTTTTGGTTTTCAGGTGTAAATTTTTGCAAAGTCCTCACAAAACCCTGCACTGGGGGGGGCAGCGCGCACACCCCCACACCCCTGGGGGTGGTGAAGGGCCGGGTGCGATCCTGGGGGGCTGGGGGCGCTCCATCCCCGTTCCGCTCGGCGCTCCACTGGCCGTGCCTGGCTGCCGGGCCGGCTGCAAGGGCGGGAGGGTGGCAGCGGCGGCGCTGGCAGGCGCTCGGCGCTCGGCAGGCGCGGGCTGCCGCCGCCGCTCCGCCTTCGGCTGCTCGGGCCTGGCCGCCGCTCCTCGGCGCCGCTCCCCGGGCGCGGCTCGGCGCTCGGCTGCCCGGCCTGGCCGGAGCTCGGAGCGGCGGCGAGCGAGCGCTGGGGCCGCTCCCACCGGCCCGGCCCGGCCCCGGCCCCGGCTCCCCTCAGGCCCCGGCCCCCGCCGCAGGTAGGCCCCGGCCGCGCTCCTCGGCCCGCCCCCGCCTCGGCGCCGCTTCCCCGGGCGGGCCCCGGAAGGTGGCGGCGGAGGCGGAGGCCGCGCCGGGCCCTCGGCGCCCCGGGAGGCTCCCCCCGTGCTGCGCTGCGAGCCCCGGAGCCCTGCGGTAAGGGGGAGAGGGGCTGGGCGCGGGGCCGCGCTGCCCCTCAGCCCTGCGGCTGCGGAGGCGCTGGGGAGCAGCGCCCCGTGCCGCCCCGTTTCCCCCCCAAACCGGGCTCCTGAGGCAGCCCGGCCGTGTTTGGCGGCCCGCCTTTGTTCAGCCGGGTGCCCTTCGCAAATGTCAGCTCGGCTGCCCGGCCTCTGCCACTCCCATCCCCTTCGGGATGGGGAGATGGAACCTGGCGCGGTCCCGCTGGTGCCAGGCCGGAGCAGCGCTGCCTGGTTGTGGGGCTGGGTGCGTTTTCTGAAGGAGGGATGAGGATAAAGCCGGGCACGTCCCAGTGCCTGGGGAGGAACGCAGCAGCGAGTTCCAGGTGTAGGGGACTTTGCCAAAGATACCACGGGCTGAGCGTGGAGTCAGGACACAAACTCTTTAATCTCCTGGATCTCAGGTCTGCTCTGTGACAGACCTTGCAGCTTTGTGAAATTATATTTGTTCTCTTCCCGGCTTGTGGATCGGAGCTAGCATCTCTTCAAGAATTCTTGAAGCTTACGTGGAAATAGCGATAACAGACAGGGAAATGCTTGGTGTTATCGCTGGCAAATGAAGCTGCCAGACGCCAGACACAGCTTATCGCTTACCTTTTTATGACTTCCCTTCTCATCCGCGCCACCAATTTGCTGACCTTTAGAAGCTGGGATCTGCAGCTTTCTCTGCCACTTCCCGGTATTTTTGCTGTACAGAAGGAGCAATTACAAGTACTGCTCTCACAGGTATTCCAGCTCGCTTCATCCAGACTGGGAAGGCACAGTAAGGTTCTGATGGCAGTCAGCTCCACCTTGTTGTCATTTCATATCTTGAAACGACAGCGTGCTCTTGACATCTTTGTAATCTAATTAAATTTCCTGAGCTGTTTGTGGTTGCAATTTAAAGCACGGCAATGGGTTCTTTAATCAAGAAACACTAATGCTAGTTATTTTCTTTCATAATCCTGTTGTGATTTATATGGAAATGCGTCGAGTTGCAGATACAACTTGGAGCCATGCATCCAGTGCGTCTGCAGAAGGTGTGCTTTGGAGTTACTTTCTAAATCTCTCTCCCTTTAATCGAGAGAAAACTTCAGCTTGCTGAATATCTTTAAAGCTTTGAAGAGTAAAAAGAGTCACACAATGAAAGTGCCTTCGTGGTGGCAATTCTGGGCCCTGTTACCCAGTTCCATCACAGACTCATTGCCTATCCTCTTCGGGTTCTTTTCTTGTTGCAGTTTGGGGCTGGGTGGTTGAGGTCTGGCTTTATGCTCTTTGGTAGCCTCATGTCAGGAGCCTGCATATTTCCAGTGTCTTAATTTAAAGTTCCCATGGGTTTATTTTGTTTGTTTTTTTTTAGGATAATCACGGGCACAGAAGAAGAAACAGAAAGCAATGTAACTCACTCCAGTTTTGCTTCTTTCATTCTTTCACTTTATTTCCAACGCATGTCCATTTAAATATCGCTGCAGGATAACTTGGAAGTTATCGCTTGGAGTTAAGGGAGGATGAATTGTGGTATTAGGAGGAAAATGTAAAAATGCAGCTGATCAGGTACTTTCTCAGAAATTCATGTGGCTTGGCTGCTTTGTGTGGAGCACAAGACAAGTTTTGGAAGAGCAGGAGGTACTAAGTTTAGATCAGTGGAACTGCTCTGGATATGAGTCATGTCACCCTTTTTTACTGATTTTTGTTGTTGTTTTTGCATTGTTCAAATTCCAGTGCTACATAGTTCGATTACTTACCAAACTAGGACTCTCTGACTCGTCCTGTTTGTTTAGCGGAGCTGATACAGCACAGAGAGGGCAAATCAGCTTTTTTGTTTTGGTTTTGCATCAACTTATTTTTTTTGTTTTGCTCAGTCTTTCAAGTGGAGACATGAAAAGGTTTAGAGGGAACGGCAAGGCACTTGGTATGAATTGAAACAACCATTTTAATAAAACTGCTGGTAGGTTTGAGGTCCTCTTCTACCCAGGACAGCATTTCTGGGGCTTTTTATGCATCTTGTTTTGTGCAGTTTAGGGAGATGTTGGCATCACTGTCCCCATTTTGCAGAAGGGGAGACTCAGAGCAGAAACAGGGCACTGAACTAGAAAGTCACAGGAGCTGTGTCACTGCTCACACATGTTCTGAGTGATGCTTTAAGCTTCTTGTTCTGATTTGGAGATGTCCTGTCTCTGGGTCTTGGAGAACGAGGACTTGTTGCTTTGAAGCTCCTGTGAAAGGAGAGGGGCTGTGTAGGCTGCAGGCACACTTACAGGATGGTCTCAGGCTCTCTTCAGCACGCACGGTGTCTTCTCTTTCCCTCTTTGGGGCATGTTAAAGATGATCCTCGATGAGGGTTGCTGGTAGTGAAGGTGAAGCATTTGGCTTTTACCACTATAAAAACTGTTGTGTGCACGGTCTGCAGATGGTTACTGGTAGAAGTCACCTGCATGTGCAGTAGTGGAATTGTTGAGTTATTACTAATATTTATTAAAAACAATCAAAACCACTGCGTAGTGTTTTTGATTGTATTTACATTAGTACACTACGTGCTGCTGGCACTGGCCCATGACTTGTGGGGATCCCATTGGTTTTATAGACAACGCCTTCTGGAAGCCTTAAAACTTGCCAAAGGGACTCGGAGGCAGAAACTAGCAGCACGTGCTCCCTTCCTCCCCTCTGGGCTTTTCTGGGGGATTCTCTCCATGGATCCCAGCTTGCAGAGCCAGAGACCGTTTTAATCTTTCCCTTAATGTTGTTTCTGTTCTCCTCAATCACTTGAGAGCTCTTTAGGTAGCAAAGCTGTCTGAAATTATTTGGACATTTGTATCTCTTGGACAGAACTCCTGTTATAAGTAGTGTTTACGTTTTACGGTTGCAGCTTTTTTTCATTTAACCACTGGTGGAGCAGATACCGCTGCTCCTGTACGCACGCATCAGGAAAGGCTCCCAGGGGCGTGCTCAGCACACAACCAGGAGGTTCTTAGGAGTGGTAAGAGATCTGTAGTCAAGAGCTGAAGGCCACGTGAAATAACTTTTTCCCCAAAGCCAGCTGTGGTCTCAGATTCTCCACAAAATTATTAACGCCAAAGCTGTATGTGCACAAGAAATGGGAGCAGGATCTCTGTAAGGTGCTGAAGCTTCTTAGCGGAACACTGACCCACTGCATAACACACACAATACCTCAGCATCCTTTCTGTAAGGCCACTTGAATGTGTTTGGGTTTATTCCTCTTCTCTCCCCACCTTCTTGTTGGTGTTTTCTTGTGGTCCTGTACCACCGTGAGGTGTTAGCAGTTGGTTTGCTGCTTCACTTTGGTTTTGGGGAGGTTCAGTATCCGTAGAAGTGCCGTTCACAACTGAGCTCGCACTGATCTGAGGCCAGGAGTTCTTGAGGCTTCCTCAAGGACAGCTGGCGCAGAGCAAGTAAAAAGGCTTGGGGTTGGGCTGTGCTCTTTCCAAAATTATAAACAGCCCAGCATGCTGTCCTGAAATGCCCTGAAGGGAGAAAACTGTTAAGGAAACAAAGCCGCCAATTACAGAAAAATTTCTGAGTTTCCACTTTGGGAATTTCTCTGGAGCCCTGGCCTACATCCAGGGCATCACCTAATCGTCTAGCTGTCGGACTCTGCTTCTGGTCATTCTGCTTTAAAAACACAAGACGACAGAAAAATACCAGTCCCAAAGCAGCTCCTGGTGCTGGTGGTCGGCTGCTCATCAGCTGTGATGGCTCAGCTTTTGCAACAGAAGCAGTGCTGCTGCTGAATCAGTCCACCACTGGCCCAGGCAGGTTTGGTCCAAGGAGCTGCACGTTTTCATGATGCCTCAGTAGTATTTTTCAAGCCCACTGAGCTCCTTTTAAACTTTGTTAGTCGGATGCCAGCTGTTTAGCTAGCTGTAAATGTGGTTGGTGCTTCAGTGCTTTGTTCTCTCTTGGTATTTAGTGACACTGTCATTTTTTTCCTTACACCTGGGCAAAATGTTTGGATTTGATGGGTACCTCTATTAGATTAGAGGAGGAACTGGGTCTGTCTCTTGGGGAAAAAACAAACACAAACAAACAAACCAAAACCAACAAAGCAAAACAAACAAATGAAAACAACAACAAAACCCTGAGCAGATGATACAGTAATAAAGTTAAAGCCTTCCTGCTAAAGGTAGCAGAGATAACGCCTGTATCTGTGCTGCATCTCTTTCTCCATTCAAAGGCTCGGTTTTTCTTTTTCCTTGCCAATCCAAAGTGTTGCAGAGCGTGTCGCCAAGCAGTGGAGAGCGGTTACTGTATTCAGGCTAATTCAGGTAAGGGATTAAACTTCTGAAGCACGAATAAAGCCTGGTCCCCAGAGGGACTGACGGTGACTCCGGAGTGCCAGC